TAAAAGTGAATTCTCTCCAGCTAGCTTGCTTAGTGTCGCCATGTGATCCCTCTGTTACACTATGATGTACACATTCTGCAAGTGCCACTGTCATGTTCTGAACGTCCCAGCTTCTAGAACTGTGAGCTAAATGAGTCTTTACTCCTTATAAATGAACTGTCTTGGGTATTTTGTTATAGCAACAGAAAACACACCCAGACAAACATCTAGGATAGATTTCTGGTACTCACACAAGAAACCAGCCGGGCCTGTGTCAGACTTTGTTTTGAATGACATTTTCATCAATAAGAATAGAAGCAACCTTTCTCCATGTCCTTGCCTCTTCTCTAAGCATGATGGTTGAATGTCACCTAAACACAAATTAATCACCAGGATCTATTAGATTAAAGGATAAAATTAGATTAATAGTGACAGAGTGGAGTTTGGGAAGTTAAAAAAAGATTATGCTTTAATCAATAATGTAAACATTAAGACATCTCAGTTTTTGAAGTTGCTGTCTGTCCCTTTGACAGGAACAAGATTTCTCTCCAACACATCTTAAATTTTCTCACCCTCAGTTGACACATTTGGCTCAGAAACCATTATTTCCCTTCCTTGGGGACCAATTTGAAAATACTCCTAATAATAATAATACAAATTTCTTTTCATGTAACAAAACACCAAACCTTTCAGGAACAAGCGTAGATGTTCAGAAAAAATTGAAGTATACTCAAAAGAGAATTCCTAGGTGAAGGAGAAACTCAAATATGAGGCCACAAAGACCCCAGGCCAAGCTCATCCTCACCTCCCCACAACTTCTGTGGCTTGGTTAACCATGTGACCCAACCTCAGAAACATTGTCCTTAATCCAACTCCATCTTGTAAAAGGATATAATAGTCACTTTCTCAAGTGAACATTTAGGTGATCCATACAATTAAAAAAAAACTATTGCAAATTCAGGGGTAACAGTTTTAAAACTACATTTAAATGTTGTTTTCATGCTGAGCACAGTGGAACATGCTTGTAGTCCCTACTTGGGGACTGAGACTGGACAGTTTCAGGATCAAGGCTGGTGTTGGCAACATGGCAAGACCCTGCCTTAATAAAACAACAACAAAAAATGTGGCTTTCTTCAGAAAACTTCTATCTATCCAGAATCTGAATGACTGCCGTGGTGAGGTTAAAGTCTCTTCTGTAGTCTACTGGTGTGCATAGAAGAAGAGCACAGGTGTGGGGCAAAGGGAAAGGGGTGGGGAGGAGAGAAGACAGAAGAGAAGAGGGAAAGCAAAGGAAAGAAAGAGCAAATGCATGCATATGGGCCTGAGGGGTAAAAAGCAACTTCCACAACACATGTGGAAATGAGAGTTGGTATTTATTTATTTGTTTGTTTGTTTTGAGGTACTGGGGTTTTAACTCAGGTTCTACAAGCCACTCTATAAGCCCTGTTTTGTGTTGGGTTTTTTTGCAATAGGATTTTGTGAACTATTTGGCCAGGCTGGGTTCGAACCATGGTCCTCCTGATCTCTGCCTCTTGAGTAGCTAGGATTACATGTGTGAATCACTGGCACCTAGCGAGAATTGGTTTTTTGTCAACTCCTTTACTCTAATATTGGATGTCTTCTGTACTTAAGGATGTTTGGTGAGGAGGAACTGTGGTGAATGGTATTTAAAATCAGGAAACCTGGATTTGAATGTCAATTCTACCTTCTAAGCAATGTGCATTCAGGTAACTTCACCCTGTGAAATGCTAGTTACAATCACATGTAGATGCAAAGAGCTTAAAGTCCTTTTTTATAAGAACATGCCACATTTAACAAACACACACACACCAAACTGATATAAAATAGGTACTTTTCAATGTGTGATGAACTAAGATACTGAGAAACTTCAATATCCTGAAATAATTTGAATTAAGGAAATGAAGATAGAATAGCATTTTGAAAACTTTTAATGTGTATTGTATCTTTGTAGATTTTCAACAGAAAAGTTTAAGGTATTCATTTAGCGCACGCTTTTAATGTCCTCTAATGTGAGACATTGAGTAGCCACTAGAGAAAGCAATAAGGAAAGGAGCTTTGTAGGAGCTCATGGGGTGTGTGGGGGAGCCAGATGTCAAGACAAACTGAGAGTTATGTCCATCTATCAGAATGAAGAGACACTAGCTAGAGTGCCTCTTTCCTCAATCATTTTGGATCAGTGAAAATCTGGTGTCTGTGACCCCTGAGTTCCTCCCACTGGAGAGGGTCAAAGATACTGGATAAGTGAGATCCCCCATTACATACCATAAAGATCAGGAAAACCCAAGATCTTGTTCCTGCTTCATTGTAATGTACTTATTTCCTGACATCTCCTTGGAAGCTGAGAGTCTGGTGTAAAGGCCTCTTCTCCTATTTTCCATATGCCCCCTAAGGAAAGGGTAGGAGAAGATGCTCCCAGAGTCCTTCACTTGATCATGTCCTCATTCTGAATTACAATGAGCCTTTCCTTTTCCTTAAGGCACAGGCTGCTGGATAAGTGGGAGACTGGAGCATGGAGGAAAACCACACAGTCTGATCTTGCGTTTTCTGAATGCACATCAATAGACAGCTGTGTCCCCTGCAGTTAATTACATTAGGACTGTCTGGGAATAATACAAATCCTGTATCTGCCCATGCAGCATTTCCAATCACGTGACCACTGACTCTTGCTCCAAGTGGTCACAATAAATTTCGTGACAACTTTTTTCCCATTTTGGCTTAAAATCCAAATAATTTCCATTGAAGTGGAATCTCAACTTAAGTCACAGTGGCTTCTCTGTGTAGTTTCCTCTTCTTGATCTGCTGACTTGTGTGGGTTTATCAGATGCATTTGATTTCAATTGTCCCCCAACTAACCAGGATGTATGTGTCCAACCTGGTGTTTGCAGAGTTAATATTCAATTTCCTTTAAACTCTCTTAGCAACCAGCCTCAATAGATGAAGCCCAACACAACATGTGGGCTTTTGCTTGAAGATATCTATCTGCTGTTATTTTTAAAGTATGATAAAAAACCTGTGTACTTTACACACATTCATGCATGAAGTGCTTGGCCACTGAGTATCTGAGTTAGCTGTTACTCAAAGGAGAGAAAGACTTAACTTCAGGTCATTTTTCAAGTTGAGATTCTTAGGTTGTGGGTAGTGTTAGGGTTTGTTTCAGATTACTTAAGTCAGAAGCCCATGCCAGTTACATCTTGGGACATTGACCTCTTTCCAAGAATTGTTCAAAAAGTACATGAAAAGGATGAGTGAGCTGAGCTTAACTAAATTATGAAAGAAATAGTATTTTTCAACTACAAAATGTTGCTGTTCTTCTACCAAAGACATCTAGATTTCTGGTCATCACTTGCTCTGTGACTTTCAGAAGCATGCTGCCTTTGCCTTCCAGGAGACAGTAACACTTTGTTTGCTGAAGTCAGAGTACATAGCTTCTGACTTTCCACGTGACCAGTATAATGACCTGGACTTGTTCCATGTGTAACATGGGAATTTTCTGTGTGTTCTGTAGCCTCTGTAGAAGCTCTGCTGTTTAGTTATTGATTCTATGTTTTGTTTACTACTTCTCCATTCTACCCACAACTTCCCTCTATATACATAAGTCTTCAATGATATTTTTCACAAGAAAGAAATTCTAGTTGATTCACAATCATCCCAACTTCAGCTAACTTTTTCTTTTGCAGACTAGTAAGGCTATCTCCTCAGTAGTTCAATGTATACCATACTTATCTTTAACAGAAAATTCTAATAAGGCCACCATATTTAGCTGGAGTCATCAGAGCTTACCACACTCAAATACTGTTGAAAAGAGAACTTTTACCGCATGGGAGATGTTGCATTTCAGAATCTTGAAAAGCTCTATAATCCCTTTCTCTCTCTGCCTTCCTTTATTATTTAATTAAAATAATTTCTTTATGTATTGTGTCAGGATTTGCTGCTGGAGGGTTTGTGGTAAATGACACTTGTAAGCTCCCTTGTGCTGCAGGGGTTGAAGGTTAGTCATTCTTTTCTTTGGACCTCCCATGGGCACTAGTGTACTTTCTTCAGGGAAATTTTCAGGTTTCACTTGGCTTTTTCACACCTCCCACTCTTCTTCATCCATACAAGTTTAAGTCCCAGGTTATGACTACTGAGATGGCTTTTGGCTGGCAATGACACAGAGCTGTGGGTGGGGGAAACTAATTTAAATAAGTAGGCAGAATGTATGGATGCTGCTGCTGCTGATGATGAATTGAGTGTGGAGGGCTGGACAAGAAGAGAGGGCCAGAGATGCCCAAGAGGACAGCAATGAGAAAGCAAAGAGCTTTGACAAGGTGAAGGGAAAAGCCAACCTCCTCTTCTCCTCCAGGAACACGTCAGTGGTGGTGGAGACCAGGCACCTGTTAGGGCCACCCACAGAGGGGCAAAGATCTCAGATGTAATTTCTCACCAGGCCTGGATACTACCTTGTCCCTTGGCTAGGTTGCTTAGATCTGGCTTCCTTCTTTGAGCAAATATAATCTATGTCCACTAAATATAAACTTCTGTGTATTTTCTCTCCCACCTTTGGAATGTTACCAAAACTGGAAAAGAAAACCCCTCATATCTCTGCTTATCCAGGTATTTCTTGCTCTGGAAAGTGGCCCAGCATGAGTTCCTCAACTTTTTCAGCCCACACTGAGTTCTTTCTGGGATCCCTGCAAATTTGAGGCTTAAATCATGAAATTTAGCCATTAACTATTCTCCACCCTGGATGGGGTGGGAGGGGACTGTGAAATCCCATAGCATCTGGAGGCCTGAAGCTGAGACCTGGGCCAGCCCTGCTCCCTGGCTCCTTGGTGGAGTTGTGCAGTCTTAGTTTCCTCATAAGCATCACTAGAAATGCAGGCTGAACTCTTGAACGTGACTTGCCCTGAGACTTCAAGTTCACAGTTGTTTTCTCGCTGTTGCTTGTTCAAGTCACATGAGCAGACATTGTGTTTTATATTACTTCCTCCTTCTCTTTCCACAGCACAACCGGTTTGTCCATTCATTTGTTTAAGAAGCATTCATTGAACCTTTACTGTCTACCAGGCACTACTCTGTGTGCTGTGTAACTGGTAGCCAGGCACACTGGTAAGCTCTTTGTCCTTAGACGGTCCAGAGAGTCCAACACTTTAGAATCTTCTGGAGGCTTTGACTAAAACACAGATCATTGCACTGCACCTCCAGAGTGTCTGTTTTAGGAGGTCTTCGGCCCTTACATTTGTATTTCTAACAAGTTGCTAGGTGATGCTGTTGCTGCTGGGTGGGGTGAGGGTCACATTTTGAGAGCCCCTGGTTTACTCTCATAGCAGTTGGTGATAGAAACCTTTTACCCAGGTGTTCTTCTCTTAACATCTGGCAACTAAGCTCTCCTTGGGGAAGGATCTGCCTTTGTTTGAAAGAATGTCTGCAAAAGCTTGCTTGGATTGGTGACTTCTTTGGATGTCAGCCTGCTGTAGCCAGATACCAGGAAGGGAAAGAGGTTCCTCAGGACAGAGTGGGAGGATGATACGGGGTTTGTGTGGAGAGAATGGGGAGATGAAAGAAGAAGGGGAGGAAGCAGCCAGGGAAAAAGCACCAGGAAAAGCAAGAGGCCAACCATCCATCTGGAGGCTGCTTGGTGCTATGCTGCAAGCCTGACTTTACTCCTTCTCTGTTCCTCTTCCACTCCCAAAAGCATCAACACAGAGTAGCAGGAACCCAGGGGAGATAAGGCTCGCAGGAAGACACTAGAATCCTAAGAGAGGCCCCGAGGATCCTAAGCTACACACTTGGATTCATCATGGTACTGGGGCTTGATTCCCCAGCTTTCCAAGAGGTAAGAGACCCTCCAGGACTTCTGGGGATACCCAGGCTGACAGCCAAGTTCTCAGTGAAGTCTCAGAGACTGGACAGACATTTGTTTTATTTAGTGTGTTTCATCTTAACCTTTAGGCCTTTAAGGAAAGCAGAAAACTGAAATTTCACTAAAATTGTTATAACCAAAATTACAACATATTGTATGAGTGCTATGAACTTTTTCAAATTTGTAGCTTTCTTTGATCTCTACCAAAGTCTTGTCAGAGGAAAAAGAGTAGAATTACTCACAGATTCCTATTGGGAAACTGAGGCATAAATAGATGAGTAAGAAAGTCACAGTTCAGAGTCCAGGTCCCCCCGATAGCTGATCTAGGAAACGTTTTCAAAAGGACCGTGTGTTGTTAGGGCTCCATTTTCCACTTAAATGAGGCAGTTAAATTCTAATTCTAAGCAAATTGAGAGGTGATTAAATAATTTTGTCCCTAACTGGATAGCTCACTCTCAAGTCCAGAGCTGTAGCCTTTTCCTCCCTACAGGAGGGAGGCAGGCAGGTCTGTGATCAAACCTAACTTTCTTTGCACTTTACAGCCACATGCCATACTATGATATAAATCTTGTAACTAAAAAAAGTCTGTGTGAAATAAGTGCCAGTCACAGCCAAATCCTCTATTTCTTTGGCAATACTTACACCATCTGTTTTTATAGGTGACAAACAAATCAGTTTCATTCTAAATCAAAATGATCGGTTTCTGAGCAATTTTGCCTGGTTTTCAGCACTGGCTCGGGAGCATTCTAGGATGGGTGGGACCCAGGGGCTCCTTCCATGTAACCTGTCTCTTTTAGTATCTTTAGTTGGTGAGACCAGGTTTCAATGAGACTTCTTAACAGGAAGAAGAGGACATGATCCCACAAAACCAGACCCAATGAAGAGGAGTTTGTGGTCCTAAAAGGCGGGGTGGGGTGGTGCTGACAGTGACCTTTAAATATAGGTACATGTACTTGGGCTTAGACATAAAGGAGAGTCAAATGACACTCCTAAGAATGAAGCAAGCAACACTGTTCATTAGACCTGATGTGCCTAGTTCCTTTCCTTCTCACAATGACCCTGAAGTAAGTGTCCTGTTCTCAGTAAGTCTCAGGGACTTGAAGGAACCTGTCCTGGTTGGTGTGTAGGTGGTGAGGTTGGATTAGAACCTTTGTTCCACAAAGCCCATTTTCTTCTTCATGGTGCTATCCACTGGTTCCTTAAAGTCTGCCTGGGAGAAAATAAAAATGAGTGACTGTGATCATGAATATAAATCCATTTTTTTTAATTTGGGGATTATGTTCTTAGTTTTTTGATGTTAAACTCTTTTTTTTTTTTCTCAAAATCATGGCGGTGGTAGCTAGTAGTCCTTTCCTCCCCCTCCCTCACCTTCTTCTTAGTGTTTTTATTTGATCAAGGGGAAAAAGCAGGCAATCCTATTCTGGTTTCATGTTTCCATTAATACCTTTTTTCTTGGTCCATACATCCAGAATCTGGGATATTTGCCTTATGCAAAGTAACTCATCATAGTTTAAGGACAGCATAGCTCTGGAATCTGGTGCTGTATCCATGTCGTGGGTAATGTGTTCAAAATTTGATCTAGAATTCATCACCTAACAATGTACATTTGGTTCCAGTTTGATGATAAACGTTAGGTAGGATTACTAAAGACTTCTTAGGCAAGGTGTCTCTTCTCTAAGCTGAAGACTTTTATTTCCTTCATTTCCTGCCTAAATATGCTGTGCATCTGAGTTTTGGTTTCTTGAATCCATAGAATGTTCCAGTGAATTAATGTTCTTCTGAAACCAATTTTGTTTTGTTTTATTCACAGCAATTTTCTTTGTATGGTGAAGCCCAAATATATTTGTTCTATTGTAGGTGTTTTCATGATTTTTTTTACAATGAGTACGACATTGCTTTCAGCTGATGAGGTATCACAACCCCCTTAAGCCCAAGCAAACAATGCAAAATGATGATCAGTGGCTTCCACTCCTGACAGCAGGCCAACCAACCAAGTGACAGGGCACCTGATGACTCCTCAATTCTTTGGGCCGCCATCACCTATCATCTGTGGGCTCAGGGTAGCCATGAATGACCCAGAATCACCTGGCCAACTCAACTTTCTGTCTGTGTCGTCCCAGCTTCCCGGGCTCCCATTGTCTCTCAGCTTGGGTCCTTTAATTTTCTTTATGGATGAAGTATATCATTTCACACACCATGGAGCAGGGGAAGTCTGATTTATGAGACCTAACTGCTTGGTACTTTCAGAGGCAGACTCCCACAGTGAAAGATTTTCCCTCTTCACATTTTTTCTTTTTTGGCTTTTTAGGATGTTTAAAATGAAATGCTCCAGAAGTGTCACTTAGAAGCTGACCAGTGGAATTCCAATCCTGACAGTGATGGTTTCCCAGGGATGGCCAGGGACCGTCACTTTCTTCTTCTTATTGCTGCTGTTGCCTTTGACCCCTTCTTCCTCCCTGCGTTTTCCCTACCTCCATTTGCTCAGTAAAAAGTTTATGTCAAAACACCATGGAAGTCCAGGAAATCATCAGAGACTACTTTGAGAACCTATATTCAAATAAATTTGAAAATCTAAAAGAAATGGACAGATTTCTAGATACATATGATCATCCAAAACTGAACCAAGAGGAAATTAATCACCTGAATAGACCTATAACACAAAATGAAATTGAAGCAGCAATCAAGAGTCTCCCCAAAAAGAAAAGTCCAGGACCTGATGGATTCTCTGCTGAATTCTATCAGACCTTTAAAGAAGAACTGATACCAACCCTCCTTAAACTGTTCCATGAAATAGAAAGGGAAGGAAAACTTCCAAACACATTTTATGAAGCCAGTATTACACTTATCCCAAAACCAGGCAAAGACACCTCCAAAAAGGAGAACTATAGGCCAATCTCCTTAATGAACATTGATGCAAAAATCCTCAACAAAATAATGGCAAATCGAATTCAGCAACACATCAAAAAGATTATTCACCACGAACAGGTAGGCTTCATCCCAGGGATGCAGGGGTGGTTCAACATATGAAAATCAATAAACATAATAAACCACATTAACAGAAGCAAAGACAAAAACCACTTGATCATCTCAACAGATGCAGAAAAAGCCTTTGATAAGATCCAACATCATTTCATGATAAAAGCTCTAAGAAAACTAGGAATAGAAGGAAAGTTCCTCAACATTATAAAAGCTATATATGACAAACCTACAGCCAGCATTATACTTAACGGAGAAAAATTAAAACCATTCCCTCTAAAATCAGGAACCAGACAAGGATGCCCACTATCTCCACTCCTATTCAACATAGTACTGGAATTCCTAGCCAGAGCAATTAGGCAAGAAGAAGGAATAAAAGGAATACAAATAGGTAAAGAAACTGTCAAAATATCCCTATTTGCAGATGACATGATCCTATACCTTAAAGACCCAAAAAACTCTACTCAGAAGCTTCTAGACATCATCAATAGCTATAGCAAGGTAGCAGGATATAAAATCAACATAGAAAAATCATTAGCATTTCTATACACTAACAATGAGCAAACGGAAAAAGAATGTATGAAAACAATTCCATTTACAATAGCCTCAAGCAAAATCAAATACCTAGGTGTAAACCTAACAAAAGATGTGAAAGACCTCTACAAGGAAAACTATACACTTCTGAAGAAAGAGATTGAGGAAGACTATAGAAAGTGGAGAGATCTCCCATGCTCATGGATTGGTAGAATCAACATAGTAAAAATGTCGATACTCCCAAAAGTAATCTACATGTTTAATGCAATTCCCATCAAAATTCCAATGACATTCATTAAAGAGATTGAAAAATCTACTGTGAAATTTATATGGAAACACAAGAGGCCACGAATAGCCAAGGCAATACTCAGTCAAAAGAACAATGCAGGAGGTATCACAATACCTGACTTCAAACTATATTACAAAGCAATAACGATAAAAACAGCATGGTACTGGCACAAAAACAGACATGAAGACCAGTGGAACAGAATAGAGATCCAGATATGAAGTCACACAACTATAAGCAACTTATCTTTGACAAAAGGAGCTAAAAATATACGATGGAGAAATAGCAGCCTCTTCAACAAAAACTGCTGGGAAAACTGGTTAGCAGTCTGCAAAAAACTGAAACTAGATCCATGTATATCACCCTATACCAAGATTAACTCAAAATGGATCAAGGATCTTAATATCAGACCCCAAACTCTTAAGTTGATACAAGAAAGAGTAGGAAATACTCTGGAGTTAGTAGGTATAGGTAAGAACTTTCTCAATGAAACCCCAGCAGCACAGCAACTAAGAGATAGCATAGATAAATGGGACCTCATAAAACTAAAAAGCTTCTGTTCATCAAAAGAAATGGTCTCTAAACTGAAGAGGACACCCACAGAGTGGGAGAAAATATTTGCCAATATACATCAGACAAAGGACTGATAACCAGAATATACAGGGAACTTAAAAACTAAATTCTCCCAAAACTAATGAACCAATAAAGAAATGGGCAAGTGAACTAAACAGAACTTTCTCAAAAGAAGAAATTCAAATGGCCAGAAAACACATGAAAAAATGCTCACCATCTCTAGCAATAAAGGAAATGCAAATTAAAACCACGCTAAGATTCCACCTCACCCCTGTTAGAATAGCCATCATCAGCAACACCACCAACAACAGGTGTTGGCGAGGATGCGGGGAAAAAGGAACCCTCTTACACTGTTGGTGGGAATGTAGACTAGTACAACCACTCTGGAAAAAAATTTGGAGGCTACTTAAAAAGCTGGACATCGATCTACCATTTGATCCAGCAATACCACTCTTGGGGATATACCCAAAAGACTGTTACTCCAGAGGCACCTGCACATCCATGTTTATTGCGGCACTATTCACAATAGCCAAGTTATGGAAATAGCCAAGATGCCCCAGCACTGACGAATGGATTAAGAAAATGTGGTATCTATACACAATGGAATTTTATGCAGCCATGAAGAAGAACGAAATGTTATCATTCGCTGGTAAATGGATGGAATTGGAGAACATCATTCTGAGTGAGGTTAGCCTGGCCCAAAAGACCAAAAATCGTATGTTCTCCCTCATATGTGGACATTAGATCAAGGGCAAACACAACAAGGGGATTGGACTATGAGCACATGATAAAAGCGAGAGCACACAAGGGAGGGATGAGGATAGGTAAGACACCTAAAAAACTAGCTAGCATTTGTTGCCCTTAATGCAGAGAAACTAAAGCAGATACCTTAAAGCAACTGAGGCCAATAGGAAAAGGGGACCAGGAACTAGAGAAAAAGTTAGATCAAAAAGAATTAACCTAGAAGGTAACACCCACGCACAGGAAATCAATGTGAGTCAATGCCCTGTATAGCTATCCTTATCTCAACCAGCAAAACCCCTTGTTCCTTCCTATTATTGCTTATACTCTCTCTACAACAAAATTAGAGATAAGGGCAAAATAGTTTCTGCTGGGTATTGGGGGGGGAAGGGGTGGAGTGGGTGGTAAGGGAGGGGGTGGGGGCAGGGGGGAGAAATGAACCAAGCCTTGTATGCACATATGAATAATAAAGAAAAAAAAAAGTTTATGTCATTCCCTCAGCCATTCATCCTTTCATTCTGAGTGCTAGTAGATGCTCAGACTCAGCAGCGAACAAGACAGAGGAGCTGTCTTTACAGGGGGTAAGATGAGGATCAAGTAGGCATTTGCTGGCAGTGTGGTGAGTGCTGGCCAAGGGAGGAGCTTCTGCCATGCTGAAGTCCTGAGCACTGGGGAGAGAGCCAGGCAGTTAGTCAAATGCTAGTGTACGGTGGTCGTCTGGAATCTTCTAGCTTGGTTTCTGGGCTGCAAGTTTTATATTTGTTGACTTTAAATTGATTATCTGACTATGGTAGGAAACCTGGTAGAGCTATGGCTGGTAGGGGAAAAATGTTGGAGCAATTAATAAATCCACAGCATGCAAGGAAAGAGCACCTAGATAACACAAACATCATCAATTGCCATGTCAGTCTCTTTCACCCTGTTCTGGGAGTCCATATGTTCCTTTGGTATTATAATGGATACAAGTTTGATCAAGATTGATATTTTAACTCAATTAAGGTAAAAGGTGACTTCTAAAAGTCTTTCACCAACACTTGAATGTCAAGAATAAGTCAAAATACCATTCCTGACCAGAGAAAAAGAAATATCAAAGAAGAAGACATGTTACTGGTCTTGATTAAGAAACCAAGGAACCCTAAATTCTTAAATTCTCAATCCAGCATTTTTTTTTCAGCCTAGGAGAAAATCTGTTCAGGTGATGTTTTTAATTCTCAAAACTGAGTTCATGTGTTTGGATGAAAACTGGATCAGTTGGTTATGAGAGAAAAAGAAATGGTCAGCGCACATACACATTCACCAATAACAGCACACAACACAAAACAACACACAGTGCCATCCACGGGTTGTTCTGTTGGACTACATTAACATCAGGCAGGAGGGTGGGTGCTGGCGGTGGCTCACACCTATAATTCTACCTACTTGGGAGACTGAGATAAGGAAGATCACGGTTCATAGCCAGCCTGGGCAAATAGTTCATGAGACTCCATCTCCAAAATAATCAAAGCAAAATGGACAGGAGGTGGGGCTCAAGTGGTAGACCACCTGCTTTGCAGGCACAAAGTCCTGAGTTCAAACCCCAGGAAAAAAAGTCAGGCAGGAACACATACAGCTTTAAGGATTTTCTTCTTTCATGAGGTTCATAACCATTTGTGAAAGCTCAGCCCTCATGACTTAATCACATCCAAAAGGCTTTATCTCTTAATATTATCATGATTCCAAGTAAGTTTCAACATATGAATCCTGGGAGACACGTTCAGACCATGGTGGTGACTAGTTTTTATGACATACTAATAGTCCCTGTGTGTTATTATTAAATAGAAGACTATTTTGTGAGATATCAGTATTAGATCTGGAAATAATAGATTAATAAAGAAAATATAGAGTTTGTAACAATACGGGCAATTAAATTTGTTGAAATGGAATTAAGCAACATCTGAATGTTTTTAAAAAAATCACTGGCAAATATTTTTGCAAATAGATTTATTCTACTCAAAACCTGATTACTAAATAAAATAATTCCTTAACTGAGATTTAGGGGAAGGGCATGTTTATTAATTTATATATATATATTCATTATATATTTATATGTTTGTTTTATGTGTATAACAGCCATGGAAGTTGTGCACAATTCACCATCAATGGGAGACTTGAGTAACTGTTGGCTTATTAGTTTAATTTATATAGCAAACCTGATGATATACTTAGTGGAACTGAAAGCTATGTTAGCAATGTGCTCTTATTTGATATCAGATCATTTTCTTCAGAAAAACTCAAAGCACTTTACCTACTGGATTTCAGAATTACTCTTAGCATCCCAAAGAGGAATTGATGGAATTATACCCTCCAGAAAACAAGAAAGCAAGGCTCAGGGAAGACTCTCAAAATCAGGATGGAGTTAGGAGGAGTT